TTTTTTATTTCATGTATATCTGTAACATTTTTTTGTAAAGAATATATTATCTTATGAGAAAAGTTTGTAAAATAACTCATGTGAAGTTCTCAATATTTTTGTTCACATTCAAAATATTTTTTAGGTCTGGGATTGTGGCTTAGTGGTAGAGCACTCACCTAGCACATGCAAGGCACTGGGTTCGATCCTCAGCATCACATAAAAATAAATAAATAAAATAAAAGTATTGTGTCCAACTACAACTAAAAAAAAATTTTAAAAATATTTTTTAAATGAAACTCTTTTCTCCTAAAATGATGCTACTGATATTTTTTACTTAAAAGAAATTTATATGAATGGTGTAGCTTTCAAGTTTGTATTCTTTGTAAACAGGTAATGAGTAAATTGATTTTGGATATGCAGGCATCTTACCTGGACAGTGAATGAAAGACCAGTTGTATCTGCTGTCCTCTAGACACATGCTGGAATTCAGAAGGGGCTGTGGATAGGCAGTTCCAGCAGAGGCCTGTGGAGGCATCTTCACTGGTCCTTTGTAGGATCCCTCCATGCATTTCCCTTTCCCAGTGTTGCTGGGATCAGTACACCAGCCACAGCCTGGCTGCTCCAAGCAATGACTGCAGGTATAATAACTTGAACAATCTTCAGCTATTAAAAGAAGAAACAGTAAACAATTCACTATCAGGTAGAACTAAATTTATTATCTTTAAATAACCTTTTCTTTAACAGACTAACTTAAATCCAAATTACTCCTCTAGAGTGACCATTTTAAGTGAGATAATGAATTTAAAGAGCTCAATAATTTGCCCAACACATCAGAGGGGTCCCTCTTTCCTCTCTTAATCCCAGGACGGTGGAGGCAAAAGGAACCTCAGAGGGCCTCTACCAGAGAGCAATTATTTTATAAATTAGGAAAGTAGGAGGCAGAGACATTACACAGATTGAATAATATAACCCTGAAGTTGAAGAGTTAATTTCTATATTCTGTGATCTATCCTAGATTTACTTGACTTATTTACATGTATCACTGTGCAATTCTGTATGCAGGTTCTCATCATGCAGGACTAGATGACTTGAGAAGAAGGTCAAATCCAACTAGCCCATAAAATGTTCAAAGATTATGAACACTGCCCCATGCCACAGTTGTCAACACAATTGTCACCACATGCCAGGCACTCAAGAGTGCCAGAATTCCCTTTTGCACTCACGAGGGCAGCTACTCATGGTATACCACTCCATACACTGGCCAAAAGGGAAGGAGGCCACGTAGGCATTGGAGTCCACACACTGCTTCATGTTGCTGCACCACATGCACTCAGAGCTGCTGCTGGTGCACTCCCCACACGCAGTCCGCAAGGCACACGGCGTCCGGCATTGCTTGGCACTGTGGTTTGCTGGGAATTAAACCCAAGAGGGACATTGAAGAACTTCACTAAGATCAGAGACTTTTCAAGTGTGGGTTGTGACCCAATAGTGTGCCATGAACTCAATTCAGGCACTACATGACATGGAGAAAACAGAAAACACTGGATTCATCATGTACTGTTTGGTCAAGGTAATTTACACACGCAGGGAAGAAAGGGACTTTCTATTCAAAGGGCACTGAGGAAAAAAAAGAAGGAATAAGAAAATCTTTCAACAAATGTAGGATCTGAAACCTTTTAGAATATAGGGGACCTTTCCATCAATGAAAGAATGGATAAAGAAAATACATAGAAACATACACAATGAAGTTTTATTGCACCATAATGAATGGATGATGACATTTGAAGGAAAATGAACGAAGTTGAGAACATTATGTTAAGTGAAATAAGCCAAACTCAGAAAGTCTAGGGTCAAATGTTTTCTCTCATATGTGGAAGATAGAGAGTAAAAATGAAAACAATGTGTGTGTCGGTGGGAGGGACTTCATGAAAATCAAAAGGAGATCAGTAGAGTGGAAGAAAGGGACCAGAAGAAGAAAGGATGGGAGGGAATTGGGGAAAATAAAATTATATCATTATATCATGTACATATGCAAATATGTAACAGTAAGTTGCATAATTATGTACAATTATAATGCACCAGAAATATATTTTTTTAAAAAAGAAGAATATAGGGGACCCTGGGTGAACTTTAGGAGTTTTACAATCCATCTGAATTTGTAAAGTTCTGTGTTTATAATTTTGAGGATAAGTGGGACCTCTACATGCACTAAATTCATCAAAGCATTTAGAATTCAAAAAAGGTTGAAAAGCTCCCCTACAAAGTTTAGAAATCTTGTTTTAAGGTGATTCCTACAATACTACAAATTATCTTCTACACTTCTGTATCCCTCAAACATCTTACAGTATATGATTTACATCCCCAAATCATTAAGTATTGCAGTTATTTCATGGGAGCCCCCATGCAGAAAGGAAAAGCTAGTTTTGAACTCTTCTATGTGCCACTGAGGCTGCCCCTGTGCCTGCAGCTAAGGGAGCTTAGACTTAGCCCCCAGAGACATGCAAATTAAGAAACTATTTGAAACATTCGACCATTCAGTACTCAGCCACAGCTCTCAAACCCTTTGGACTGGCTTCTGTCTCCTGTCACAAAACTCATCATTTTTCCTCCCTGCGACACTGGCTTCCTGATTACTGTCCTGCAGTGATGTTCCTGCTTTTCTCATTTTTTTGTTTTTATTTTCCTTTGTTTTCTTCCACAGCATTTTTCTGCCACCACTAAGAAATCTGCCCTTGGGGGCAATTCTCAACACTTTTTGTGGTCAAGAAACCAAACAATCTCCATGTTAATTAGAGAATTAGATTTTCAAATAAAGTTATTTATTTTTGGTTTTGTTTATGGCTCAAACTGGTCAAAGCCACAGACTATTTCCTTCTGCTTTTAAAATTCTGGGTTTTACTTGAAATATGCCTGAAATCAATTCTCCATCTATCTTCACAACAATTTCGCACATCTCAATATTAACTATGTAGGGAAGAATGAAAAAAGACATTATATCATGTCTAAGCACAAACATACCACAATGAATCCCACTTACATATGATAATTCACTAATAAAAAATAATAGAAGGAGCAAATAGATTGGGAGTTGGAAAAGGAAGTTACTAAAAGGAAGGAGATTGAGTAAATTATGTGCATGTATGAATAGAATGTGCACAATGAATCCCACTATTATGCATCATTATAATGCGCAATAAAAAATTTAAAATATGTTAGGTGTGGTAGCACCTGCCTGTAATCCAAGAACTCAGGAGGCTGAGTAGGAGGATTTCGAGTTCAAGGCCAGCTACAGCACCTTAGCAAGACCTGAAAAAGGGAGTGAGACCCTGCTTTAAAATAAAAAATAGAAAGGGCTGAGGATGCAGTTCAGTGGTAAAGTGCCTCTGGGTTCAACCTCCAGTATCATTTAAAAATAAAAAGTAATACATTAAAATAAAAATGATACCTAACTATGACTCCTATACTTTCTTTCTCAAACTCCCTGGAGCACCTATCACCAGTGTCCTTACCAGGCCGTTCACAGATGCTGCCATTGAGGGGGTTGATGCAGGTTGCAGCCTTTAATCCCCGAACAGTGGGTTCTGACAAGACTCCACAGAACCCAGCATCACTGGGCTCAGATGTTATCCACTGTAGTAAACTATTTGTAAATGGAGTCATATCTTCCCAGAACCAATGGGTCATGTTGATCTTCCGAAGGCCAACCCATGGGGTTAAGGTGAGCTTAGACTGAGGGCAAAACAGACACAATTATGAAAACAACCAATATCTTGACCAAACAGGCTACTTGATAAAACCCATTAAGTTAGATACACCCACAGGTACAGGAAAGCCTCCTTATACCCTAAACTCAGGCATTGGTATAGATCACCACTTCTAATATGGGCCATTTTACAAAGGACAAACACAAAGCTTAGAGACGAGAGGTATCAAAATTTTCACAGAGATCTATATCCAAAGTGATAATCAAGTTCCAAAATTTCTACACTCTGTGACAAATGCTATGAAGAAATGGTCATCACCCCACACTGGGTTTAAATGCCCATTCACACATGAAATCATTTCCCCAACATTTATAAAATATTGGTTATATGTATATCCTCAGATCAGAAGCTAAGCATTGTGTGATGGTTGCCACTATCAACTAACTGACATCCATCACCTCTCATATTTACTATTGCAGGACCATATGTATGTGTATGTGGTGAGAACATGTAACATCTATGTCCTGAACAAATATTAAGTATATGATACTTAACTATTATCACCATAGCATATATTAGATCTCTAGAATTTATTCATCTTATGTAAAAAAAAAAAAGGCTTTGGACATTTTGATCACCATGTTCCCATTTCTCACCCCACTTCTCAAGGCCTGGAAACCACCATTGTGCTCTTTGCTTCTGTGAATTAGACTTTTTTAGATTCTACATATAAGCAGGGTCATGTTGTATTTATCTCTCTGGGACTAGCTTATTTTGCTCAGTGTAAGATCCTCCACATCCATCTGTGTGGTTGCAAATGACAGTATTTCCTTATTTTGAAAGGATGAATCATAATCCTCTGTCTATCCCCAGATCAGACAGTGTTTACTGCCTTTTTAAATCTATTGCTTCATTTGGTACTGGATTTTATAAAGAATAAAAGAGCAGTGAACACCTAGGATGGTTTTTGTCTCCTATTCTCCTAAAATTTCCTTGCCATTGTGCTTTAAAATTTTTTTAAATTAAATATAATTTTGAACCCAGAAATTAAAGGTATTCTTAATTTTTGCAGTTGAAAAAAACAAAATATAAAATGTATTTTCATTTTTGAGAGGAAAAATATATATACTTATTAAAAGACCTGAAATAAATAAATACATTCCAAAAGAGTTTTTAGTGGTATTAACAAACATTATTTGTTTTCTTACTCTTTTATTAGTATTTTCTAAATTTCTTTTAAATGTGTGTTTTTAAAAAAGAAACATAATTTTAGCAGATACACTTTATAAGTCTTTTCATAATGTCTTTTTGCTTTCCTGATAAAATGCAGGGCCATTAGCATTGTGGACAAGGTATCTCTGATTTGGCTGTGGGCCCTTCTTGAAGCCCAGCTACAGCATCTTTCTCCCATCCAACCTGCCCCAGCCACACAAGCTAATTTGCAGCTCACTCAGTGAGCTATTCCCTCAAACTCTGTGCCTTGTATGAGAGGGTACCAACGCACAGGGAGCCCGTCCTTCTTCCCTTTCCATCCACTCCTTCCCACCTTCAGAGTTACCTCTTCCCAGCTCTACCAGACAGCCTCTACCCTATCTTGCTTTTTTCTTTTTTTTTTTTGCATTCTTCCATCTTTTATTTTTAAAAAATTAATAATAAATACATAAATAAAAGATAAACATTCTTACGTAACTTGTTATGTCTTTTAAGCATTTGTTCTTTCCCTCTCGTTACCTATCTTGCTTTTTTCATATACAACTGGGCTCTACAGACTGGGCCACATCTGGAGTTTAACCTATGGGGAACACATTACACTAGTTGTTTTATCTGTTAGCCTTTTCATAAGAGTGTGGGGTTCTGTTTTTGAAAAGTACCACCCAGAACCTGTTAGGGATAAAGCACTTGAAGAAGAGGGGAGAGGGAACAGAGGTACATCTGTGGCCAGCTGGGATAGTGGAACCTTTCTACCCACGTAGTCTCCCACAGAGGTGGACTTGAGAGTCACCAGTTGAAATCCCAGCATGATGGGCAGAGCTGACTCTACCAGTGAAGAAAATGTGAGCCTTTCTGAGCTCAGAAACCCTTCATAAAAAGATGTCCTCTGTAGCAGAATACAACAGTTACTAATAGGGCATTATGTAAAATTGTGGATGTGTAACCGATGTGATTCTGCAATTTGCATTTGGGGTAAAAATTGGGAGTTCATAACCCACTTCAATCTAATGTATGAAATATGATATGTCAAGAGCTTTGTAATGTTGTGAACAACCAATTAAAAAAAAGAAGATGCCCTCTTTTGTTGGGCGTCCAGGTCTAGAAAGACCCAAACAGATATAAATGTCTTAGTGGTGGTGACAACATGCACTAAAATAATACCTTAAATCTAAAGGACATAAGTGTCTAAATATGACACCTAATTAGCTGTGATCCCATTGCTCTCTACTCCAGCAGAATCTAGAGATAAAATAGGTATGGAATTATCTAGTGATGTCACCAGACTATGTGCACAAACACACACATGTCACTGATCATCTTACATATTACTTTTCATGTTATAATAAATATGACTTATGAAAATGTATGAAGTATTAAAAGTTTCAAGGTCAGGTAAAAACCATTAAAGGAAGAGATTGACCTTCCTTTAATGCCACATCTACTACGCCATGCATCCTGGCCTTCCTCCTCTTCCCAGCACGTCCTCACCCACAGCCTTCCATGCACCAGCTGTGGTCATGCCCTCAGCAGAAAGGTGGGTAAGAGACACTTAGGTTCTGAGGATTCACTCACCATGCTTTGTGATGGCTGCATTATTTGCAGCTGCTTAAGGACAAATTCCACTTTCTTCTGGGTTGTAAGGGAAGCCAAGAAGGCATTGTGGTTCCTACAGTACAGTTTAGCATTGTCATAATTCTCCTTGGCAGTAGTAATTTTCAAACACGAGTTTCCAACCAAATGCCAGCCAACGCCACAGATATTTTCTTTAACAAAGGGGGAGAGAAAAAAAAAACAGCTTTAGAAATTACACAAAACTACTATATACCTAGTTCAAGTTCCTGAACACCTAAATGATCCTTGTGATTTGAATTCTAGGTGCTTCATTAAGAATGTGGCAAGGGCAAGAGACACATTATTCACTTCCAGACACAGAATGCAAGAGATAAGTTTGTCAGTCCTATCTACTGGGTCTCATGAAGTTTATTCTGAAGTCAACTCTCCAGTCACTTGGAGGAAAACTCATTTAGTATCAATACTTGGTGGCAGATCTTTTAGAAGAACAATTAGAAAGACTAACTCCTGAGCGGAGAGCAGACAGATGAATATAACAATGGAAAGGTGGAGTACAGAACAGCAAACAGGGAAATGAGTTGGGAATGAATAAATCTAAAGTCTTCAAATGCTGCACTGTTTTCATATCATCATGTACAAGTTAAAATGAAGACTCTAGGGCCCCACCCAGGCCTGTACCAGAACATGCCTTTTGGAAAGATCCCAGGGGTTTTGCTATTCATGAATGTCTGAGACTCAGAACAAGAGTAAACAAACAAGAAGCCCATTCTGCAAGCTGAACTGCATTACTCCAAAGGACACTCAAAAGGGCCCTGGTCCAGCTCAAGTGGCCTACTCATGCCTCAGCTGTTACACAGTGCCACAAAACTCCCCCTTCCTGGACATCTGGTTGGAGTAAATATATCAGGGGTTCAGTAGGCTGGCCACCCCAAAGTCATCACCTTAAACCTCAGGATGCCATAAACCAGGTACTCAGGACTGGCAGTCACCTCAGAGTTGCTGCTAACACAGAAATCTGCCTCTCCCTCTGCTCAGAGAAGCCCCTCAAGAGGTGCCAACAACCAAATCCCCATGTTCAGTAACACTCTTCCATACAGTGCCCAGAAGTCTGGCAGCTGAGACTACAGAATTCTAGTCCCTGTTATCACAGCCAGGTGGGTGTCAAGGGAAGGGGCAGATTCACTGACATGAACCCAGAATCATTTCATTCTCCAGAGGAGCAGATGATGCTAGACTTTATGTTAAGAACAGTCAGAGTGTATACTGAAGACTTGAATTTTAGTTTAAAAAACAGAAACAAAACACTGGGGCTGGAGATATGGCTCAAGCGGTAGCGTGCTTGCCTGGCATGTATGCGGCCTGGGTTCGATCCTCAGCACCACATACAAACAAAGATGTTGTGTCCACCAATAACTAAAAAATAAATATTAAAATTCTCTCTCTCTCTCTTTAAAAAAAAACACAAAACATTGGTGATAGGGATGAATTGATAGAATAGGCCCCTCCTCGCTGTTAGGTTACAACCGAGTCTGCATAAGATTCAGGGAGCAGACAAAGTTCTGGACCCATTCCCCAGGTGCCTAGCAAGGTTTACCAGGCAGGGAGATGCACTCTTGATTCTGGGGATCCCACTGGCACTTCTGGTCCAGGTCACAGCTCCTACAGCTGGTCTTCTTGACACAACTGTACTTAGGGTTATCCTTGAGGCAGTTCTCATATGTAGAAATGGAAATCTAGAAAGTAGAACATATTCAAAGTAGAACATATTCATAGAGATAACTCATGGTGGTGACCAATAGTTGTAAAGACTAAATCTAATTGAGGATGCAAACTTCAAATAAAGAGATAAATAAAATGCAGATGAACAGCTCTGTGGTAGAAACACTGTAGTAGAATGTTCTGCTCAAGAAAATGCCTTTAACTGGCAAGGAAGCAGTCTACTCTTTTAAACATCATCCCTCAAATTGCTCATTGGTAAAATGGGGCTGTGGAACACACTGCTTTTCAAATGCCCCCTACAATCTAAAGTTTGCTTATAAACAGCAATAGACTGACAAAGTATAAAGGCTGGGTCATCTTATCTTCTTTGGTCTTAGTGTAACCTAAATTTTTAAAACCATTCACAGGGAGCACCGAAATTATGCTGAACCAAGATATAACATAAAAAAAAAGGAGAATTTGCAAAGCCTACCAATTCCCCAATTCAATATGGACCCACAACACACCTGCCTGAAGCCCAAACCTTCTCCCAAGAACTTACACAGATTGAGTGAGCTCATTGTCACAAGCCTCAGACTAAGGATCGAGTACTTCAACATAGCCACACCCAGGGACACCAGTCCCCAGACCACAGTCCTACCTTCTTTTAAATCACCACACACAAATTCCCGGGGCTAGCGAGACCCTTGAATCAGGATGTATTCAGCATCCTTTCCTAAAAGAAAACCTGATCTAATACAAAAATCCAAATCTACATCTCATTAAAAAAAAATCCAGCCCAACTATTATGTATAATTATAATGTATTAATAAAAGAAAAAATATTGAAAACAAACCAATATGGGCCATTATATATGCCATATATTCAACCTACACCTAAACACAATTAGGATATTTTTATCCTCTGAAATCCTTAAGAGATGACCCCTGACCTGGTCTTCCATGCAGCTGAGATGAATAGGGACACAATGGTCATTGCACCAGTGGCAGTCATTGGTGTTGGCCGTGCAGTTGTAACAATCCGTGTGCTGGTCACATCTGTCATGGTCAAGGGCTAGGAAGAGAAGAAACATCAACTGTAACGGCTTCTACTAAGCACAATCTGAAATGGGTTAAAATTTAAAAAAAAAAAACCCTAACAATGTCTGGAAAAGAAAATAAAGTGTGAAACTGGAAGGAAAATGTATTTGGATGTTCTGGTTAAACAGGACTTAGAGCCAGGCAGAGTGGCATATGTCTGTAACCCCAGAGTCTTGGGAGGCTGAGACAGAAGGATCAAGATTTCAAAGCCAGCCTCAGCAAAAGTGAGGCACTAGGCAACTTGGTGAGACCCTATCTCTAAATAAAATACAAAATAGGGCTGGAGATGTAGCTCAGCAGTCAAGTGCACCTGAGTTCAATCCTTAGTAACTCCCAAAACAAACAAACAAACAAATAAGACTTGAGACAATCTGAAGAAACACTGTTTTTCACTTAAAAAGATCAAACAGGAAGTAAAAAGCAAAAGTAAGTTCATTTAACAAGTCTAAGAATGGAAATAAGATCTGGGCATTTGAATATTTTTTTCCTAAGAAAAACCAACTAGAATAGAATAAACACCAGAAACTGCCCAGGAGCCAAAGAAAGTTACAAAGGAGACCAATCCATTCCTCCAGTTACAAACACCAAAGCTCATTTTGAGCACAGGCAGCAGACAGTGCCTGGACCCCAAGGGAAGTGTGAGCTGAGTCATGCTGCATTGATTTCAACAATGCAAGCTGCAGAACCCTGGGGTGACTGCAGACCTGGTGCACTTCCTCTTGACCCCAGAAAAGAGAAGCTGCACCACCATGCTGCCTCATCTGCTGAATCACCTCTTAGACACCGCACATGGTGAAACCCAAAAAGTGTAAATGGAGGGGCATTGGGGTGGTGGCTCAGTGGTAGAGCACTTGCCTAGCATGTGTGAGGCACTGGGTTTGATCCTCAGTACCACATAAAAAATATAAATAAGTAAATAAATAAAGGTGTTGTGTCCATCTACAACTAAAAAAATACTTAAAAAAAAAAGAGTAAATGGGAGGGTCCATGGCCCACCTTCTTAAAGGCCCCAGCAGTATACCCCTTAGGTTGCTCTTCCTTCTCTTGTCATCATCAAAGGGGTATGACCACCTCTGCACAGAGTGGAGTTGTTAGGGTCTGTAAACAAGTCAAGATGGCGCCTGGCATTTTGCCAGAGGGAGTGGTTTGTGAAGTAACGCCAGCGAGCCATTAAGTGTGGAGATTCCTTATTGGTTGACTGCTGTATCTAGTTTATGTTAATTAAGATAAGCTGTGTGGAATGTATATATACCCCTCCTGTCCTACAATAAACGGCTCCCACTCCAGCTGTATTAATCTACACAAGTTGCTTGTCACCCCCAGTTATTTTGCTGCAGCCGGACTGCGCATGGAGTGAAACAAGGAGTTGATACTGCACATGAGATGACAAGAAATGGGCTCATACTGAATCATCTAAGATAATTCAACATTATTTCCCATGTACACTTGCACATTTAATTTGAACATTTAAAAATTTGGTTAAAAAATAACTGTTGCACTGATTTTATCCTTTTTAGGAGACAATGACTAATCCCACAGTGTTCTGGTCATTCTGTTCTCCATCAATGAACTTGGTTGCCTGGATGTTCTTACTAAGGATTTATGTTGCTGCACAGATTAATTTGGAGCATCCCAGGAGAATAAAAGCCGCCTCTCTCCATCTTAATGGTCACAATAACGGCAACACCCATCCTGCTAGCCATGGAATTCAGTCAACATATTTAACTGATGTGAACAAATATTTTGCAGAGATATCCTTCTTATTTAGAAAGGACTTTCTCACACATTTCTTCACTGTTGTTCTGTGCTATATGTCAGAACAAAAGGGCAAGAAGCTAAGCAGACAAAGGGCAAGAAGAAAACAGCTTAGAAAACATGAGGAGAGCTTCTAGAAGTGGGGATCATCGTTCATCCTCAATTCTCTGTCTTGTTCTCACTGCTGTATCCAACTAAAAGAGCAAGAAAATAGTTGGTGAGGATGGCAACTCCTCTATCTACAATAGGCTTTTCTAGGTTGGCCTTCCTAATCTCATCCTTAATGTCATACCTCCACAATCCAATATGGTAGCCAGGAGTTAAATAAAAATTCAGCTCCTCAGGCATACTAGCCACCTTTCCAGTGTCTGAGATTCCCATGTGGCTAAGCAGCTACCAGACTAGAACAGGGCATGTATGCAATATTTCCATTATCAAAACAAGTTCCATTGGATAGCACTGCCTTGGACCAACTACAGTCAAGTCTTGGAGCTGGTGGATAAAGCCTATGGCATGCCAAGAAGGTTGTGTCCCTATCATTCACAGACAGCTTCTAGGAGCTACATGACATATGTAAAGATGTTTACAAACCAATATTCAAACACCCAGAAAGGCTTTGCACAAGTTATTACTAAACTAGTATGGATAATAAGGTGAACATAAGAAGTGTACAAATACTAAGTGTCTTCATAATTCTGATCAAATGAGATTTCTAATTAAATTCTAAGTAGAGGAAAAACTCACTTGTTTGGGGAAAGCATTCTGATTTTAACTTTTCGGCTTGTTCTTCAGTTGCCAGCTCCCAGGAGATGCACTGAGACAACCCTGTGTCCCACACACAGCGGACACCAGGTCCTGCTGCCACACAAGCAGCTTCACCCTGGTGTGCTTCACACTGTTCCAAGGTGAATACCAGGATGTCACTGAGGAGGAGACTGTTGAAACCACCAAACACATACATGGTGCTAGGGGGAAAAAGGGAGAGAATGAATTTACTGAAAACTTACGTTACAAATGCATGATACACTTTTACAGACAAATTTCAGATAAATCTTACATATCAAAAGTCCTCTAAGAAACTATTTTTCAAGGTTCAAAAATCAGTATAATTCTCTTACCTACCAAATTTTACCTTTTCATCCTGACCTGTGATCGCCAGAATAGTTTCAATAAACCACCTAAAAGCTGCACTTGGCAATTTAGTACACAGTGAATGTTACATCTTAAATTAGTAGGGAAAAGATGGACTTTTCAGTAAATGGTTTCAAGATAACTAAACATATGAAAAAGATAAAAATGAAGCCCTTTCTCACTCTATATACCAGGATAAATTCCAAATGGATCAGAGAATCACCTGAAAAAAGAAATAACATAAGTTCTAAAAGAAAAAATGGGCAACTTTTCTATAACCTGAGAGTAGGAAAAACCTCCATATGACTTAAAATCCAAAGGGTAGGAAAGAATTAATTTAGAGAGTGCTTGAGTAACTTTATAGGTAAAAATTGAAAAATTACATTAAGCACATGAAGAGAAGATATGCTCAATGTTAGACACAAGAGAAATTCAAACTAAAACTATAATTATGTAGCATGTCTCATCTATCAGATTTGCAAAGAAAAAGACCACAAAGATAGGTAAGGATGTGGGCCAACAGGCATATGCATAGTCTGCTGCTGGGCTTGTAAAATAGTACTAACCTACAGAGAGGAATTTGTCAATTTCTAACAAAATTGCCATTTACCTTCTGAACTTGAAATCACTTTTCTAGAGGTCTATTACAAAGATATTATAGCAAAAAAAGAAAGAAAGAAAGAAACACATATGAAGCAATAAATTAAATGATTGTAATAATAATAGGAAAAGATTCTAACAAACCAAAATGTCTATCAACTGGGGATGTGAAGAATAAGCTATGATACACCCACATGATGAAACATAGGGCATCTGTAAAAAGGAATGAAGAGATTTCTATACATTACTTCTGAAGTGATCTTCAATATATACTATACGGGGAGGAGGAGCCATGCAGAGAATAGCATATAGAGTATGTGGTCATTAATCTATTGAGGGAAGAAGTGGATCAAACACACAAGCACATAGAATTCTCTCTTATTTATTTTTTAGCTTTAAGTGGACACAATATCTTTATTTTATTTTTATGTGGTGCTGAGGATCGAACCCAGTGCCTCATGCATGCCAGGCAAGTGCACTACTACTTGAGTCATATCCCTTTTTTTAAAAAAGAAAAATAAGAACCACACAATTTCTCTTTAAGTAGTCTTCTTAAAAAAACCAACCCAGTAGCAATGAATATGACCATGACTTAGATTGTGATATTTTAAAACCATTCTCCTTGATCTACCCTTAATTTTAGAAAAAAAAAATCTAATGTCATGTCTGGATAAAGAAATGCTCACAGTGAAATCTGTAAGATCTTCTTACACCAGAAAGACAGACTAAGGTAGTGTCACAAAGACTCAAGAGCTACCATGAAGAGAAGCTCACTGGCTGCAGAGGGGAAGTATTTGAAACTTAATAAGAATAAGAATTACAATTCACAATAGCCAAGTCATGCCTAGAAGCCTATTAACAGACAAATGTATAAAGAAAACGTGGTATATCTACATAATTGAATTTTACTCAGCTATAAAGAAGAAGGCAATTATGTTATTTACTAGTAAATGGACAGAACTGGAAAACATTATGCTAAGTGAAATAAACCAGACTCAGAAAGTCAAAAGTTGAATGCTTTCTCTCATTCGTGGAAGCTAGAGAGAAATAAGGAATAAAAAAGGGGGACCAAATGAAAACAGAAGGGTGAACAGTGGAGAAAAGGAAGGTGTATAATAGGGAGGGAGGAAGGATGGAAAAGGGAAGGAACTTCAGAATAAGATTAACCAAATTATGTGCACATATGAATGTATCACAGTGAATTCCATTTTTATGTATAATTTTAATGCACCAATAAAAAAATAGATAACTAGAGGGAAGACCAGTAGAGTAGAGGAAGGAGACCAGGGAGGAGGAAGAGGAAAGGGAGACATATTGAAGTGGAGCAAATTATGTTACATGCATACGTGGATGTCAAAATGAACCCCACTATTATGTGTGACTATAATGCCCTGGTAAAAACATAAAAAGTAAAAAAATATATATACTTTTAAAAGAGGTATTACAAAGCATATTATTCTTTTTAAACCTTGAGTTCACTATAACTCATATCTCCTAACCCCAAAGATAAAACTTCATTTTTCACGTGTGGACAATGCAAAGAAAACAGTTCATTATTTTCAAAATTGGTAAATAAAGAGAAACAATCAACCTTATGAAGTGGTCTTGCCATAATCATGAAGTGAATCTGACTGTGCTAATTTGCGGGAAGTTCAGGTGAGACACTGATGTAGGTCAGCTGAGGCTGGCACCTGAGGAATTAGCAGGAAGCAGGTTTATTGGCTGCAGGGTCCAGAGGGGCTATTGCCTAACGCTCTCCAGACCAGGAGCCTAGAAATTCTTTGAACTTTACACCCAGAGGTGGGTGTGGGATTGGAGGTTCACATTTTTGCTGGATTCTACATAAAATTAATTTTTTTCTTTGAGTTCTCAGAAAGTGCTTTTTGTCTTGTTTTTTAGAACAGTCAGAGGTTTACACATTTTACCACAAAAGCAGGAATAACATCATCAAGGCCGCAGTTAAACTTAGCTTTTGCAAGACAGAGGAACAGGAAATAGAAAGTTCTAACTACACTGAGCTCTTTTGCAGAAATCTTTATTGATGTTCTGTTAATAAGAGCAATTATGGTGAGGGTCTCTGAAGAAGCTTAATTAAGATGCATTGGTGGAGGAAGAGCACCACTACAATACCAGTATATATTTGAAAGCATGCAGATGTAACCATCAAAATCTCAACTATAAGAAACTCTATAGGGCCAGGCATGTTGGTGCATGCCTATAATCCCAGCAGCTAGGGAGGCTGAGGCAGAAGGATCTCAAGTTCAAAGCCAGCCTCAGCAAAAGCAAGGCACAGAGCAACTCAGTGAAACCCTGACTCTAAATAAAACACAAAATAGGGCTAGGGGTGTTGGCTAAGTGATTTGAGTACCCCTGAGTTAAATCCCTTGAACCAAAAAATAAAAGATAGATAGATAGATAGATAGATAGATAGATAGATAGATAGAGAGAGAGAGAGAGAGAGAGAGAGAGAAATAAAACTCTAGGAAAGGCAGCAGAACACATCAGACACTAGTATGGCAGTATGTAAAACAGTGGATGTGTAACTGATGTGATTCTGCAATCTGTATACGGGGTAAAAATGGGAGTTCATAACCCACTTGAATCAAATGTATGAAATATGATATGTCAAGAACTATGTAATGTTTTGAACAACCAATAATAAAAATTTAAAAAAAAACTCTCGAGTTTCTCTAGCAAACACAATCTCTAGCAAATAAAGGGAAACATCACAGCTGGGGAGCCTGTAGATCAAGAGAAATTAAAAGACATTTTATGTAACATACAGATCTTGTTTAAATGCTGATTTGAACAAAAAAAATTTTTTAAATTATGGGATATTTTGGAAATTGAATATTGAATGGACATTGAATGATGTTAAAGAATTATGATTAGCTTTAAAAATATGATGCTGTGTAGTGGCTGTGTTTTTAAAAAGTCTTTCAAAAAATGGAGTCAATTTTCCTTATTTGCAGATTCTGTGTTTGTGAATTTACCTATGTTCTAAAATTTATTTCTAACTCCAAAATCAATACTTTGCAGCCATTTATGGTCACTTGCAGGCATGTGCATGCAGAGTGGTAGAACATTTGAGTTGACAAACATACATATTCCAGCTCATCTCAAACAAAGCAGTGCTCTGACTTCTTGTCTCAGCTGTCTGTAACAAGTGTCCCTTTCATGGTTTACTTAGTGTCCCCTTCTTGAGTTTTTGTGCTGGTGATTTCATTGTTTACAATGACCCCTAGTGCAGTGCTCAAGTGCTGTCTCCTGTTCTAAGCTGTGATGTGCCTTTGTGGAGGAAATATGTGTGTTAAATAAACCTTGTTTAGACGTGAGTCAAAGTGCTGTTGACCGCGAGCTCAAAGGTAAGAAATCAGCAATATATTGTGTTTAAAGAGAAACACACATTGAACAGGATTATGTATTGACTGGTTTAGGAAAATGTTGTGCTGAGAAGGCTCGCAGAAACCTAACCCTACGTGTCCTCTAGGAGCAGAGATTCAATATTCACTAATTCATTGTGTGCAGTACTTTACAGAACATAACCACTGTGGATAATGAAAACCAACTGTAATCTGAAATATTTACTTGTGAAATCCTATTGTGCTAGAAAACTGCTTCCAAATAAGATGGACAGGTTCAGGATGGCCACAGGTTGATGACTGCTAATGCAGAGTAAGGGGCACATGGGGCTTAATTATGCTATTATCTCTACTTCTTTATATCTTTTCACAACAAATTTTCACAACAAAAAGTTTTAATTTTGGGGGGGAAAAAGAATTTTGCTTAAGTCTCTTCTATTTCAAGGTTTATATTACATTTCTAGCATTAACTAATATTACAAGTGGGCCTATTCTTTCCTGTGTATGATCTCTTCCATTTAATTCTATTTCAGTCTAAAGGTAGATCATGATTTATATGATCATTTATAATATCTACCTCCAAAAAGAACAAAGCTCAAATCATGCTGTCCATTTACTCAGAAATATCTAGTGAGCATCCATTCTGTACAAAAATACCTTGGCCTCTGGTCCTTCAGCTTGCAGAGCTGCCCAAAAGTCAGTTCCACCTCTGCTGCCCCAGCTGGATAAGCCAAATCTCAGGCTGAAGCAGCTTGGTCTACCTCCTTGAACTTTATTCATCTTTTAGTTTCTGCCCTTTGTTTTCTCAGTATCTTGTTATGTCTTTGCTGCACACCTTTTAGTTGTCTTTCAGTGAAAGAAAGTCCCAGAACTGAACACCAAAAGGCTCACATCAAGGTTTTAGGGCTTTTAAATCAAGCCCAAATCTCCCTCAGGAACATGGTGATCATGTTACCATATGAGGGTTAGAGAAGATATTTCCAAAGATAATAAGACCTCTACTCAAACCTTCTATGTTCTTGACTTGTTGTGGAAAAGAACTTAAAGATGAGTGAAGTCTCAGTAGCAAAGAAGGAAATTTATTACAGAAATTTAAGTATACATTCTCAGGGTGTGGGCTTTGAATATATTCCCCCAAATCACAAATAAACACAACAGCAAATAGTGGATACTTAATGGCTGCAAGTGTTTAAGCACAAACATTGAATAAACATTGGCTGAACACTAAGACATGCTGTTTGGGGGTCTTGGGTCCTTCTTTTAAAGGAAGCTTTTGTGGGCATGGGAAGGCATGTGAGCTTCGAGAACTCAATTTTTTGATGATGGATCTCAAGACATTTACAGTGGTCTGGTCTGCTTCAGGATCTTCTAGATTGACATTCTCTTCTCTGATTAACAGGTAAAGTCTGGATTATATCCAAATGATAGGTTTCTTATAATACATCTCACTTTTGATTGTCTAATCTAGAAAGACACTGTAAGTCAGCTAACAGTGCACATAAGCATTAAAGCAGGGCAATTTTCACAGATGAGGGAAATGGCAGTAACTTTAAGACTTACAGATTTCTCAAGAATTTGGGAGTGACAGGCCAGGAAGAAGGGCAGGACTCGGAAGTAAAAGTATTAGTAACTCCATTCATGGGGCTTTTATATTTAAGCTGAAGATTTTCTTTCCATTCATTTTCTCTCCATCTATTATTTCTTCTATACAACCTCAATCATAGTGCACTTTAATAAGATTTCACATTTCTAGTAGTGTAATGGCTGAGTGTCTACATAAGGCTTTAATAACATGCAGAAGATAACAGAGAAGGCAGCCCTGTCTATCCACTCACACCCAACTGAATGTCAGAACTTGAAAATGCAAAAAAAAAAAAAGTAAAAGCTAGACCACATTTGTAAACTTCCAAAACTTTGAATATATTCCCCCAAATCACAAATAAACACAACAGCAAATAGTGGATACTTAATGGCTGCAAGTGTTTAAGCACAAACATTGAGTAAACATTGGCTGAACACTAAGCTACACTGATCTGCCAGCAATCCAAAAGGATTAAAATTAAAATTAAAAACAGAAGAAAACAACTGAGCATAAAAATTAAAATTAAAAACAGGAGAAAACAACTGAGTATAAAAATCATCAATGGCACACTGTGGAAGGAAGAGAATCCATAGAATTAAAGTATACAAAAGCCCTAAATAAACAGCAACAACCCCTGGTGGTGGTGGTAGAGGAATCCGGATTCAGACTTATTTTAATATATTATTTAAGATGTTACATTTTCAACAAAATATGCAAACAAAGGAAAATATGTGACCAATACAGAGGAAACAAGAGTCAGTAAAAACATTTCTGAGAGGGTCCACATGTTGAATTCAGGAGATCAACGCTTCAAAACAGCTAGTATATATTTAAGGAAGTAAAAAAAAAAAAAACTGTCTAAAGAATTAAATGAAAGCATGACATTAATAGCTTAACAGAGAATAGCAATAAAGAGACATACATGAAACTCACGTTTCTTATTTTTGTATTTTAGTAGGTTTTAAAATCAGAACTGAATTTGATTTCCATAGGAGAGAAGTACTGTTGGGGGAGTGGGGTACAGGGATTGGCTTAGGGGCACTCGACCACTGAGCCACATTCCCAGCCCTATTTTATATTTTATTTAGAGACAGGGTCTCACTGAATTGTTTAGTGCCTCACTTTTGCTGAAGCTGGCTTTGAACTCATGATCCTCCTGCTAGGGTTACAGATGTGCGCCACTGTGTCTGGCCGGGGAGAAGTACTTTTTATAAGGATATTCTTACTCACTCTAAGGTTGATCACAGTAATAGATGATTTTACAGAATATTTAAATAGAATGTAAAAAGAAACATTTTTTCCTGGACTGTGGAAAGATTATTGGCTGTTCATCCACATGGACATGCCTGGAAAAAGCTGTTGCTTCTTGTTACCTGTGTCTAACACAACAGTTTGAGGCTCATCATGAGGATTCTGAGAACCAAGTGTCAAAGGGTAATTAAGTTTTTTATTCAAAAAATGTGTACTCTGTTTCTGGCACTGTACTAGGAATTGGGGATTCAAAGAGAATAAAAAACCATCTGTAATGCCAAAAAGAAGAGAGAGAGAGAGAGAGAGAGAGAGAGAGAGAGAGAGAGAGAGAGAGAGAGAGAACATACATTATAAAGAATAAATGAAAATTCTGGAGTTGGAAATACAATAAGAAAAATGAAAAATTCACTAGAGGTACTCAGCAATAGATTTGAAGAGGCAGAGGAAAGAACAGCAAATTTAAAAACAGATTAAGAAAATTGCATGGAAAGGGATGGTGATCCTCAGGGTTATACAAAATTACATACAAGAGGAAGTGAGGGGTAAGGAAAGAATAATACAAGTGGAAGAAGTGTTTTACAGTAGAGGGGGTTGAGAGAGAAGAGGGGAGGGGAGGGGAGGGGAGGGGGGATAGTAGAGAATAGGATAGAGAGCAGAATTCATCAGACACTAGAATGGCAATATGTAAATCAATGGAAATGTAACTGATGTAACTGATGTGATTCAGCAATCTGTATACGGGGTAAAAATGGGAGTTCATAACCCTTTTGAATCAAACTGTGAAATATATCAAATTAGATGTAATGTTTTGAACGACCAACAATAAAAAAAAAAGAAAAAAAAAGACTAAATAAATAAATAAATAAATAAAAATAAAAACAGATTAAGAGGTCTGGGAACGTAGTTTGTGGTAGAGCAATTATCCAGCATACACAAAGCCATGGGTTCCATATGCAGTACTAACCAAAAAAATAAAAAAAAATATTAATAATGATTAATCAAAACCACACTCAGAACAACTAAGTCAGGCAAAGCCAATTTAGTGCAGCTGAGCAACACACATATATACATTATATACACATACACATATATATATACACATTTTATATATATAAAATTATTCATGAGGGATAGCTGACTTAGGCGTTTTTCAGCAATGCAGTGAAATGCAGTGCAGACTTCAGATCATCCAAGGACTACAGACTGGCCCTATGTTAAGCTCTACAACCTCCGCATTTCTGTTCCCTACCTTATCTCTCACCTAAAGGGCCCTCTCTGCTTTTTTTCCAACCACTGTTCAGATACAGCTACTTGAAACTCAACAACCTAAGTACCTAAAAAGAATTACATAAGACCTAACACAGTAACATGCATGGAGCTTTTGTTGCCCCACACATCCCAATACCACCAAACATAGCATGTGCCTGTGTGCTAACACCACCAGATCAACAAACATGGCATTTGAAGCAGTTCACAGTCACATCGAATATTTTAACCCTCAATCAGGAAATTTGTCCTCTGTGAAAAACTAATGAGATGAGGGAATCCTGCAAATAATATTAGTTCATTTTCACTTCTACATATTTTATTTCACTTCCATCTCAAGCACAAAAGAAAATAATCAAGCACTTCTCCAATTACCTGTTGTGTAAGACTGCGGAATGGCCAAATCTATTGACATCACGGTGGAGATTAGGTCTGGGAAGCACTGACCATCGGTCACAAGCTAGAAGCAAGAAAAACACATTTCAGAGAGGACTGCCATTCATAATCAACAGGAACTGACAGTCTTCAAGAAGAAGACCGTAACACACACACAGCCTTGTAAAACATACCAGTCAACTCTATTAGTCATGCTATGAATGCTGGGTAAAAACCAGCAGCAGTGGAGCAGTAGGGCACAAAAGAAAGATGGGTCACATGGCAATTCCAATTAGCATCTGACATTTATGACATCACTCACCCTGCTGTCCATCAGTTTTACACACTGGAATGTTTTTTTTGTTTGTTTTTGGTTTGGGTTTTTGCCATGCTGGGTATCCAACCCACTGCCGTGTCCATCATGATAGGCAAGCACTCTACCACTAGATTACATCTCTGGCCCCCAAGAATGTTTTTTTTTAACTTAAGCAAATTTTATATTCTACAAAGCTTAAGTGAGTATACTCTGTGAGTTCCACAATTGTTTTCTACTCCTTCCCATATTGATCTGCCCAAACTTAGTAGCTACCATAGAAAAATGCAAGTGGAAATTAAAATTTCAAAAATTAAACTTTATTTAAAAATTTAAAGCCCTTTCCTAGATCTCCTGAGCCTCCTTTGCCCTGACCTATGCTAGCAACGTCCCTCTGACTGAACACCAAGGGTGCACCACCCCACCCACAAGCTCACTGCTTCACTCTCGGGACACTGCCCAAGAAGAGCTTCTTCAACCTTGACCCAAACCTACCTGGTCTTCTCCACCCCATCTTCCTCAACATGGAGAACAGAGGCCACAACTGCCCCCAGCTTCCTGCCTACCCACCTTACTTCCTTCCCCCAAACCAGTGGGGCAGATCCCTTCCTCTTCTCTGACTTCAAAGGTCCCTTCCTTGATTCCACAGTGTGTACCTGCTTTCCTTCAGGACTCCATGCCATCTTTGGCCTTCACCACAGCATTTAAATATGCCCAAGGCACACAAAAGAGAGGCCAGATATCTCACCTCATCCTCTGTTGTGGTGTAAACTAATTAGTAAAATCAGTAAGAGTGTAAGATATAGGTTATAGATTAGTAAAAAATAGAGATTATAGATCTAAGATTTTGAGAAATGAGATAAGACAATTATAAAACGAGAACTGTCATGGACAGGCCTCAGACTCCATTTTGCTGCCTTCTATTAAAAAAAAAAAAACTGTTACTAGAGCTGTTTCTGAGAAACTGAAATGAAAGTTGTTTTCTGATTAAAAAAAAATGTTTTCTGTGCTTTGTACCCCACAAAATGTAAGTAGATTCTTGCCCCCACTAACCCCCTGCTTGAACTCAGGATATGGTTGTCCAAACCCTGCTTGGACCCAAGATGCGGTTGTCCAAGTTGCTCAAGCTAACTGCTTTTATTTTAAGCTTCTGTAACTTGCTTGCTTGCTAACTGGAAAATTCCAGTCCTGCTTAGGGCTCTGAGGTCCTGCTAACTACTATTTTAGTTTCTGTGATTGGCTTACTCACATGACGCCAAGAAAAGTCCCTGAGCTATAGTTTTCCTCCTTAAATTCTCAAGAAACAGGTCCTGAAATTGCTGTTGTTCTCCCACAGAGCTTCAGTCTCTATGGGTGAGTGACAGTCCCTGGCCAGGTAGTTCTCTTTGATTTGAATTTCGACTTAAGAGTGTTTTCTGAAGCGGCTCCTCATAACATTCCCGAAAATTAACATTTAAGCAATTAGCAACGGTGACTTACAGAAGAACTATATGTAGAAGTAATGCTTTCTAACAAATGTGTAACCTTAGTCAAATAAATACAAAACTACCATTTGGACCTCTTTCAAGTGGCCTGGCCATTGGAACTAGTGATATTTTCAGTTTCTTTTTAAAATGTTGCTTTTATATACAAAAACATTTCTGAAGAGAAAAATGGCTCTGGGAAACTTACCAATGTCATAAGCCATGAAGTCTGAAGAGAAGCATTTGGCACCGTGGCTCATGGATGTGTCATTGTGTGTATTTCCTCCAAACACCAGCATGGTTCCACTCACTATCACAGCTGTGTGCAAGTAACGGAAAAATCGGCTGTCCTTAAGAATGGTCCTTTGAGTTTATTTAAAAATAATAAATATAAGGTTAGTTTTTTAAGAATAGTTATTTATCTGCTAATGCAAACTCAGCCACTTTATTAGCTTCAAACCCAAATGTGCAAAAACCTTCAGACTTTTCCTTACATGAAGTCTAGACGTGTAAAATCCAATGAGAATCTTGGCAAAAGATATTAACACCCTTAAAATGTTCATAACATAGGATGCTATAATTCTGTTTTCTGGGAAGAAATCATATGAAACACAGAGAGACACTGATGCATGATACTTTACTAACAAGACAAAAGCTAGAAATAAAAACTTCCAATCACACACAAGATGGAGTATTACAAAGCTAATAAAAATGATGATTTTTATTCCAGACTGAATGTAAAACCATATTTATGGGAATGGTCTTTCAGATATGTGATGAAATACCAAAAAAGGGAAAACATTGCTTTAAAATTACATTATTTCATAACCCAAATTAGCTTTATATTTGTTAAAATGAGCATACATTTTACAGGCTGATCTGTAATTCAGCATGAGGAGAGCTCTATCAATTAGGTATGAGAGCATCCTGTTTGATGATAATATTGGATTATGCCAATTACTGACCTCAGGGGTGACACTTTAATTACCAAGACAAGGTTCAAAAATGGATATATCTTCCTGGAGATACAGCTCAGTGGCAGAGAACTTGCCTTGCATGTGTGAAGCTCTAGGTTCCATCTCAAACACCACCAAAAAAAAAAAAAAAGGGAATATAGTCTACTTAATTATAAGTGTGTGTACAAACTCAACTACTGCTTTATTCCTTAGGATTCTGAAGGGAAAAAAATTACAGTAGGGTTGAGTGTATGAAAACTGAAAATCAACCCAAGAATGCCAAGTAGTTTCTAACCACTGTATTACAGAATGTAGGATAATGCAACAAATTAAATGCAGCTAATTTATTACCCTATGCTTCTTCCTAATTTCTTTATATATAACACTGAACAGAGTTATACACCAGGCCTGAAAACAAACAAACAAAAAAACCCAGCAAAATGTTTTCCCAACAATTGCATCTAGAGAATTCACAGTTTAAAGCAAAAGCTCAAAAAAAAAGCACCCACCACATCTGGGTGTCCACATCGTATCTGTAGAGGTCATCTGCGAGCCTGTATTTAACAGCACTGAAAGCCTTGTAACCGCCGTGGACATACAGGGCTTTGGTCTTGTGATCATAAGCACTGCTGTGGCCATAACCCCCTTGCACAAGGGCACCCTGGGTGTGCAAAATACTCCAGGTGTTCCTCTCTGGAAAGGGAAAAACAGTCAAAAGCATGCAGGTTCCCCTTCTCTAAAATGCAACTTCAAAATATCTCAAGGATGGAGAAGGGATTTCACAAGAGCTGATGCATATAATTTCATCCTTTTATCTTAAAAAAAATCCACCCAAAACTTGTAACAAACTCATATGGCCAAACTCCAATCTGTTAAGTGTTCTGATGTTCTAACATGCAATACAGGAAAAGAATTTCATTAAACTGATTCAGATTCCAGCCATATCAATGTTTATAACATCTCAATTCACAATAACTAAGCTATGGAGCCAAACTAGGTATATATACATAATGGAGTATTACTTAGCCATAAAGAAGAAAGACTTTATGATATTTGCAAGTAAATGGATGGATCTGGAGACTATTATGCTAAGTAAAATAAGCCAGTTCCCCAAAACCAAAGGTCAAATGTTTTTGCTGATATATGGAAGCTAACCCACAATAACAAGGGAGAGGGGAAGAATAGATAATAGACAAAGGGGAATGAAGAAAAAGGATAGGAAAAAGAAGACAGGGGTATGAATCCAAAATAATTCTCCTATTCATAAATAGGTACATATATGAATATACCACGGTAAATCCCACCATCATGTACATCCACAAGAATGGGGTCCAAGCCAGGCACGGTGGCATATGCCTGCAATCTCAGTGGCTGAGGAGGCTGAGGCAGGAGGATCACGAGTTCAAAGCCAGCCTCAGCAAAAGTGAGCTGCTACATAACTCAGTGAGACCCTGTCTCTAAATACAATACTAAATAGGGCTGGGGATGTGGTTCAGTGGTTGAGTGTCCCTGAGTCCAATCCTTGGTGCCCTCCCCGCAAAAAGAATGGGGTCCTAATTAGAATAAGACACATTCTATGTTTGTATAATTATATCAAAATGAAGTCTACTATCATATATAACTAAAAAGAACCTATAAAAAATAAGAATAAACAAAAAGTTTGGAAAGAGACAGAAGAGAATAAATTGGCTATAAATGCAGGGGTTTAAAACTATTTTAAAATAAAAGACTCATATTCCCCTCAAGTGAGAATTTAATTCCCTATGATCTTTAGTAATCAGTATACAGTTGTACTTTATAGGCCTACTATCTCAAAATATAAATTATAGCTGATACATCTACTGTACAACAACAGATAAAACAAAATTTAACCAAAGGAAAGATTATGTATTAAAGGAAATTCATACTCCATTAAATCAACCACTAAAGGGCCATCCAAATTTTTCCATAGCATTTGTAGTTTGAACTACTTTTATTTATTTTAACACGCTTAGTATTCAGTACCTCCTTTATCTCCTCGAAAATTGACAGTAGAAAGGGGCATCAATAACCTGAATTTTACTGTTTATACATCCATATTATCTGCATTTCAAAATGAAGAACTGGATCTAGGTTAGCTTGAATCTTGTTTAACATCCTAACAATGAAAGGAGAGATTTTGAAGTTGATGTTTAAAACATGTCCACTGGAAAAAAATATACCTACCCAAGTCATATTCCTGCACATTGCTTATATATCCATAGAGAGGGCAGTGACCAAAGATGACCAGCATGACCACCCGGCCACTCTTCAGTGTTACAACGTGTGCTGAGTGTCCAACCACTGCATACTGCTCCTTTGCCTTTGGGGTCAACAATACCCATGATTCGTTATGAATATGAAACACTCTCAATTCATTGGTCACATTGCCTGTTGAATCAATTTTTCCTCCATACATGTAAATATTATCCTAGAGGAAAAAACATAAACAGGATTTAAAAAAACATTA